ATTTTCAGTAAGATTTAACGTTACTAAATATTTAGTAACGTTAAGCGTTTAACTTGAATCTTGTCCAACAGACATCGGTTTTAAAGCAGTGGGTAATTCATGTATATACGTATATACATTTATATATTTATATTTTATATTATATATTTAATATATAAACATAACTTATTTTTCTTAAATGCATACATGCATGTGTTTTATATTTATATATACAGTACATAATAAAATATACACAGTACACACACATATATTATGTAAACAAAAAAACTTAATTTTTTTTTAAACGATTAATCGTTTGACAGCACTGATTAAAACCATTAAAAAATGGTTTTCTGTAGTGTGTTTTGGGACATATTCCATTAGGATTTATTGGTTTTAACAAGCAATTACCAGTAGAGACCCACAGGGTCCATTACAGTTTCCATTAAAACCAATACAAATCCCATTATAACCAGTAAAACCATTACAAATTTTGTGATGGTGTCTATTCTGAACACTTTAGTCACCTCTTCCAAACACAGGTCTGCGCTCTCACCTTGATCTCCAGGCTCTCGGGATCCTCGCCGCTCCCCTCGTCCAGGTCGCTGTCCTCGTCCTGCGTGGAGTCCCGCTTGTCTCCGGCGATGGTCTCTGTGGCCAGGCTGGCACTCCTGTCCTCGCTGGGGAAGCCCTCTGCCTCCGCTCCGCAGGACGGACTGTCGATGCCGCTATCCCGGTTGGGGATCTTTCCGCTGGCCTCCGTCCCCTCGTGACCCTGCGACCTTGCCTCCTCGCCGTCGGCGTGTTTACTGCTCCCCTCGTGACGCTCTCCGTCTGAGTCACTGCGATTACTCTCCAAACCACTGCTGCACTGTTTCTGATGCTCTTTCTGAAGTTCCTCTGTAATCTCCGCGTCACTAGCAGAGTCCGTCTGGAAGGAGTTTAAGCTGGACAATCCCAAAAGCTCAGAGATTTCACATGTTTTAAACAAAAGTGCATCATCTTTCTCCAGCGCTGCTGCCGCTGGTGTCTTGCTGAGCTGAGGATGATCGCTGGCGTCTCGAGAGGCTGGAGCATCCATGTTGGCTCCCCAATGGAGGTCGCTCCTCCTCTGGAGGCCCAGAATCGGAAACCTTACAAGATGAAGGCGCAATAATGGTCTAAAAGTGTAAAAGCATCTTGTCAAACGTGTGAAATAAGTGGCTTAGGCCCTGTTTACACCTGGAATTAAGAGACCGGTTTCACAGACAGAGCTTCGTTTAAGCCAGGACTACACTCTTAAAAATAAAGGTTCTTAAAAGGTTCTTCACAGCGATGCCATAGAAGAACCATTTTTGGTTCCACAAAAGAACCATTCAGTCAAAGGTTCTTTAAAGAACCATCTTTCTTACCTTTTTATAATCTGAAGAAATAAAATCTGTGAAACAGAAAGGTTCTTCAGATGTTAAAGGTTCTTTATGGAACCCATTTAGACAAAAATGTTCTTCTATGGCATCGTGAAGCACCTTTATTTTTAAGAGTGTATGTGTTAGTTCAGTTAGAATATTTAAGCAGCTTTTATAAAAATGCCTTAGAAAGAAACATTACTGGTGTGCACCCTGAGACAAAACAATGGTACTGGCATAATTTAAGATATGTCAGTGCAAGTTATTTTTAGTTGAGATTTTAGTCTGGGACTAGCCTTAAGCCTGGTTTGTAAAACTGGGGGGAGATGTGTTTTCAGTGACAGCCGAGCAGTTCACACCTAACACTAACATGCATTTTAAATGCATCTGGTTTTGTTGAGACGCTTCCCTCCTGTTTCATCACACTCATCATGAGAAAGGTGAACGAATCCAATGAATAAATATAGCCATTTCGCTGATGCGAATGGAAAGGACACTAGTAAAACTTCAATGACAGTCAGTGATAATCTGTGTTTATGGCACAACACAGTGAAGTTGAGATCTTAAAACACATCCCATAATGCTCGCGTACGAGGTCAGTGGGTGGCAAGCGGGCGTCTTATGCGGTCGAATGTGTTCAAACAGCCACAAAGGCATCAAGACTACAAAAACAATGCATCAATGCATTTTTAATGCCTCTGAAAAAAGGTCAAAAGTGGTCAAAAATGGCTCAAAACGTTTTAGACCCATTTCCACCTGTATTTAACATCATCCTTGTGAACAGATCAACGACAATGCATCTTAATTCCAATTGCATAAACTTAAGTTAGCCATCTTTGTAAAACTGGGGGGAGATGTGTTTTCAGTGACAGCCGAGCAGTTCACACCTAACACTAACATGCATTTTAAATGCATCTGGTTTTGTTGAGACGCTTCCCTCCTGTTTCATCACACTCATCATGAGAAAGGTGAACGAATCCAATGAATAAATATAGCCATTTCGCTGATGCGAATGGAAAGGACACTAGTAAAACTTCAATGACAGTCAGTGATAATCTGTGTTTATGGCACAACACAGTGAAGTTGAGATCTTAAAACACATCCCATAATGCTCGCGTACGAGGTCAGTGGGTGGCAAGCGGGCGTCTTATGCGGTCGAATGTGTTCAAACAGCCACAAAGGCATCAAGACTACAAAAACAATGCATCAATGCATTTTTAATGCCTCTGAAAAAAGGTCAAGTGGTCAAAAATGGCTCAAAACGTTTTAGACCCATTTCCACCTGTATTTAACATCATCCTTGTGAACAGATCAACGACAATGCATCTTAATTCCAATTGCATAAACTTAAGTTAGCCATCTTTTTTTTTCAAGATTAGTCATAACCTTTTAAAGTTAAAGTTTAAAACTCATAGTTAGTCAAACTAGTTCACAGTTTAATTAACTTTAAGAAAAGTGCTGTCACTTTAAGAGAACGCACTGATCCGGACATCATTTGTAATTTTATTGTTTCAGTGTTAACAACATACATATACATACAAAAAGTAATTTTATTTGTTGTTTGTTGATTTTAAATATAAAACTTGCTGAAACTATTTATGTGTCAGCACTTTTTGAACATTTCCAGCACATTTTAACATTTTACCGTGATACAACTTATAACTGTGATCATTTTAGTCACTATAATTGTGATAAGAAACCTTCATACCGTTACATCTCTAATCCGAGTCTCAGCTCACACAGTATGACACACAGACGATGCTCAGCTCTTACCTGGAGCGGTGGATGGGCCCTGCAGACGGGACTCTGGCTCTCAGAGGGGGACTGGGCAGGGGTCGGCGGGGCACTGGAGGGACAGGACCAAGCAGGTGCACAGGCTTAGGGGGCACTGACAGACACACACAGAGAGAGAGAGAGAGAGAGAGAGAAGACGCTCAGATCGTAATTTTATTGTTTCAGTGTTAACAACATACATATACATACAAAAAGTAATTTTATTTGTTGTTTGTTGATTTTAAATATAAAACTTGCTGAAACTATTTATGTGTCAGCACTTTTTGAACATTTCCAGCACATTTTAACATTTTACCGTGATACAACTTATAACTGTGATCATTTTAGTCACTATAATTGTGATAAGAAACCTTCATACCGTTACATCTCTAATCCGAGTCTCAGCTCACACAGTATGACACACAGACGATGCTCAGCTCTTACCTGGAGCGGTGGATGGGCCCTGCAGACGGGACTCTGGCTCTCAGAGGGGGACTGGGCAGGGGTCGGCGGGGCACTGGAGGGACAGGACCAAGCAGGTGCACAGGCTTAGGGGGCACTGACAGACACACAGAGAGAGAGAGAGAAGACGCTCAGATCAGCTCTATCTCCATCACAACAGTCCCGCACCTCATCCTCCGCTCACAGCCCAGAGATTCTCCCTCCATACTCATCCTCCCGATCCACCCGTGCATGCAAAGAAAACCAGCTAAGAGTACAAGAAAGATGGAGAGACTTCAGCTGTCCGAGAAACTGCCGGCTTCCTGAACCGAGAACAGGAAGTGGAGGTGAGCGTGCGAAAAGAGCTGCGGCCACACGGCGAGATATAAACCCACACACAACAGAGTCGAGAAGATGAAGTGTGTATGTGCATGAGTGGATAAACCGCCTCAAATCAGTATGAATTTGTAAAGTGTATACTGAATGAGTTGCATTAGGACTGAATGAAATAGAACTTCAATGATGCAATTTAGAATCTGAATTCAGGAAGCAGCTAGTCTAAGCTGCGCGCACTTCCTTCCTCTGTCTGTTTTGCACATCATATGAAAGCCACAAAATACCCATGCAAGTTCACAGCATCACAAACGCACATGCAAAACAGGAGCATTAGCGCAATAAAAAAAACATTGTTTTTCCAGAAGACTGTTGTCAGGTATGAATGACAGTAAGACGTGTTTAATACCGTGGGGTTTCTGTGCTCTGGGCGTGGCTGAGGGAGTGGGGCGTGGCCTCGGTGTGTGCTGGGCGGGGCATGGCCTGAGAGGAGGCGGAGTTTTCTTCTTCTGAGGCTGCTCTACAGATCCACAGGAGCACTGCAGTGCTGCTGGAGACAAATCTACAGAAAACACACAAAACACAACATGTGAAGGCATATCTGATAACCAGTGTGAGATTATCATATCGGCAGATGAAATCTACCAGCAGCCTAGTCAAAAGACCTATGTTCAGATGTTTAGAGCATATTACCCAAATTCTTATCAGCTTGTTTTATTAATGCTTTATTTTAGCTGACTACTTTTCTAAATTGATAAACATATGCACTCCTATCATGCATTTTCAGTACACAATAGCTTTCTGGTAACCTTGTGTAAATCATGAGAAAGTTACCAGCTTTAATGCTTATCAGGAGTTAGATTATGTCATCTAATTGTGTTTTGAAAGTCTTGTGGCTGTACTTTCAAAACGGCGTGTATTTAAACATTTTTCAATTTTTACTGTAAGTTTATTACTGAACACACAATTTGGGATCATTTTTACACAATGAGGAACTAGTCTGAATTATTTTCTGCGGTAACTAACAGCACCTTGTAATGAACCCAGAACACTTTTTAATAATAATAAAAAATAAATAAATACATATCACAAAAATAAAAGCATATGTGAGACATGTCACGCTGTCTAATTAGCATGCTGCTTCTTTACACGCTTGACCTATATTATTTCATCTGTGGAATTCTATATTACACGTTATTATTTCTAGTCCAGGAACTCCTCGACTCGACCTTCATCAGGACCAGAGAGACAGCAGCCATCGACTGGACGATCAATACAGACACAATTACATCCCAAACTCTAGCGACCGCTCCTCCCCGCAGCTCACAGAACTGCCAGCGACGATCCAGCATTCGCATGAGCGTTTGCAGAAGCGCTCGGACCGTTTCCAACTCTCAAAACAAAACATTTCACAGGACAAACCCTCAATCTGAACAACACTTCATCATAAAATCAGTGTGAGCACCTCGGTACATATACATATACCCAGTTCACACAGAAAGAAAATCATGTCATATCAGCAGCGCCTTCTCCTAAACTACGAGATGAAGGGGGACCAAACTGATTCTCCTGCTGACATCCTCAGTGATCTCACACATCTCCTGTAGACTTCCAGAGAAGTCCTCAACAGTGTCTCAAACTGTGCTCACAAGTGCCAAGATAACAGTCTGCCATCAAAACTAGGAGATCTGAACACGCACTCAAACATCAGAGAAGGTTATGTTTTTAAAGCGGATACTTAAATGAAATTAGCGTGATCTCTTACAGATATCTCCAAGTCTTGTGAGCAATAACGTTAAAACCACAGAAAGAGAATATTCACTGAAACATGAGACTTACTTTATGCTCTGGTGCAGATCATATCTCCTCAGACCTCGCTCAGTCTGTGTGTGTGTGTGTGTGTGTGTGTCATCAGCCTCCTCCCTGTTACCTCATGAATATGTAAAGCACACACACCTGTGACAGGTGAGACAATCTGAGCTGGCACTGACTGCACCTGCTGTTGTTAGCAGTGCTGAGCTCCAGCTGCCAAACCTGCTTCACACGCTACTGTCTGTGTGTGTGTGTGTGTGTGTGTGTGTGTGTGTGTGTGTGTGTGTGAGAGAGAGTGTGAGTGAGTGTGTGTGTGCTCAGCTAGTCTAGACACAAATGAGTTCAATCTAAACTAAACCTGCCTTTCCCAAACAATCTGGAGCTTCCTTAAGTAATAACACTGTGTCAAAGCAGATGTGACCCTATTCACTTTCTACACACTCATGTTATTATGCATGATTCATTAATGCATGTTTTTACAAATACAAAAAGGAGGATTCAATAATAAATAAATAAAATAATAAATTAAAAACAACCCCTGGTTTCAGCTGACATCACCAATCTCTTATTGTTCCACCATCTGTCATAGAGAGACTCTTTCACCAACCTGCTCCTCATGGATAAAAGTCCCACATCACATTTCTTATTTCACACTGAATATCCTGTTTTACTGGGGGGTATAATCAATATAATACGCTCCTAAATATAATCAATAACAGAACTGATACTTTATGATCTTAAATACACACACACACACACACACACACGATGAAGGTCAGGACACTAGTTAGTGAGTCTCTGGGTCAGACAGAGGGGCTCTCGGGAGAAAGTCTTGGATTTCTCCTGAAGCTGAGCTAACTAGTTACTGTTGTGTGTGTGTGTGTGTGTGTGTGTGAGAGTGAGTGTGTGCATGTTTACTGTATGTGGTTTATGAGGACACAAATTTGTATAAAAACATGGGTATGACATAGGTATTACAACGAGAAGGTGATTTATGAGGACATTTTCAGTGTCCCCGTAATTCAAAAGGCTTATAAATCATTCAGAATGAGTTTTTTTGAAAATCAAAAAATGCAGAAAGTCTCCTGTGAGGGGTAGGTTTAGGGGTAGGGTTGGTGTAGGGCAATAGAATATATGGTCTGTACAGTATAAAAACCATTACGCCTATGGAGAGGCCATAAACCATAAAAACAAAGACAAACCTGTGTGTGTGTGTGTGTGTGTGTGTGTCGGTGTGCGTGTGTGTGTGTGTGAGAGAGTGAGTGTGTATGAGTGTGTGTGTGTGTGTGTGAGTGCGTGCGTGTGAGTGCGTGCGTGTGAGAGTGTGTGTGTCGGTGTGTGTGTGCGTGCGTGCGTGTGTGTGTGTGTGTGTGTCGGTGTGCGTGTGTGTGTGTGTGAGAGAGTGAGTGTGTATGAGTGTGTGTGTGTGTATGAGTGCGTGCGTGAGTGTGTGTCGGTGTGCGTGTGTGTGTGTGTGAGAGAGTGAGTGTGTATGAGTGTGTGTGTGTGTATGAGTGCGTGCGTGAGTGTGTGTCGGTGTGCGTGTGTGTGTGTGTGAGAGAGTGAGTGTGTATGAGTGTGTGTGTGTGTATGAGTGCGTGCGTGAGTGTGTGTCGGTGTGCGTGTGTGTGTGTGTGAGAGAGTGAGTGTGTATGAGTGTGTGTGTGTGTATGAGTGCGTGCGTGTGAGTGCGTGCGTGTGAGAGTGTGTGTGTCGGTGTGTGTGTGCGTGCGTGCGTGTGTGTGTGTGTGTGTGTGTGTGTGAGAGAGTGAGTGAGTGTGTATGAGTGTGTGTGTATGTGTGTGTAAAATAAAAAAGGCCTGACAGAGGTCATTTGTCAAGTTAATTTGATAGTCAGCAACAATACTTGTGACCGTTAATAATGCCTGTTCTCTAATACACACACACGTTTGGATTTTGTGTTTTATCAGGACTCTCCACGGGCATAAATGTTTTTATACTGTACAAACTGTATTTTCTATCCCCTTACCCTACACCTAAACCTACCCCTTACAGAAAACATTAAAGAAAAAAAAACATTATGGTTTAGAAATAATTTTCCTCATGGGGACCAAAAAAAAAAAACAATTAGAGCAAAAATTTCATGTTTTACAATCATTGTAGAGATATTTAGTCTAACTTTAAACCCTTTAACTTAGGGTTTAAAACACACACACACACACGCACAGTCACAGTCACAGTCACACTCACTCACACTCACACACACACACACACACTCACACACACAGTCACACTCACTCACACTCACACACACACACACACAGTCAC